ACCTTTGTAGATGGAATATGATTCTGTAGATTACCTTTTCTGACTGGAGCCTCTTGTGTGGTCCCTCAAAGTGTTGCTCATTACTGATCATCAGTGCATCATCTATTAGGAATATCAACCTCATCTGCCTCTTCAGGTATATATCGCTTGAAGATTCAACCTGATTGTCTAACATCAACTGCAGCAAGGTGTTGAAAGCTGACGGAACTGGGATCTACATCAACCAGCTATTATTTTGAGGTTTTGGTTTCCCATTTTTTGCCAATATCTCAATAGTCTGATTTTCAATAAAGGACCACATCACGGCTTCTATAAACTTTCTTCTCAATAGGATCATAACACCTATACGCCAAACTCATCTTGACCGCTAGCAAGAATATACAACTGTCTTGTCTTGGCATCTAGCTTGGACCTTTCATCTTTAGGAACATGGAACAAAACAGTTGCACCCAAATAGGCCCGTAGATGATCATTATGGAAGTCTTCTTACCATAGCCATAAAACTACAGGAACATCATTATGTCGAAGGAACGGTTGGGAGTAAGATTTGATTGACATGTGCAACTTGCATACAATGCCTCACCCCAAAAAAGAAGTTAGGTAGTTTTGCATCTGAAAGCGTACATCTAAGCTCTCTCCATCAAGGTTGCTGTTCATCCTTTCTTGCCAAGCCATTCAATCTGTAGGAGTCTTATGAGGTGTCTTCTTGATGTCTGATACCATGCTTCTCAGACAATTAAGAATCAAATGCCCCGACAATATTCACCTCCATTTATCAGTACGAACACATTTCAACTTTTACCTGTTTCTCTCTCAGCATAATTGTGAAATTCTTCTAAATGCACGAGTACTTGCATCTTTGACTTTAACACACGAACCCAAAGCTTTCTTGAGTGATCATCAATTAAAAGTCACAAAGTACTGTGCACCACCAAAGTGACTTATCCTTCAAAGGGACCCACATACATTCTGAGTGTACTAGGCTCTAACAACTCTTCTTTTGAAATAGAAGGAGCGATGATGTTGTAAAGGGAGACCCGTTTTCTGTTTTCCAGCCAAACAATGCTCCACAAGTTCTAACCTCTCAAACCTTGCAAACCCAGAAAGCAAATTCTTTCTTAGCTAGAATTTTATTTCAAGACCCTTTTCATCTGATGTGACTCAATCTCTTGTGCATAATTTCTGGTTGGAACTATCATTTTCAACTTGGCAATTCACGAAGATCTGTAGGGATTAGTAGTCAGAGCATAGCAAAGACCTGAACCTCTAGAAACCCTTTGAGGCCACAAAACCAAAGGCTCTTTATAAAACAATGCCATGATTAAACAAAATTGGTGCCATATCCATCATTTATAAATTAAGCGTCACAGGATATCAAATTCAACCTCACATCTGGCGCATGTTTAACATTTCTTAAGTATCAATTCTTAAGTATCAACTTCATACCAAGGTTGGTCACCACAGTTACATTGCCAATGCCCACTACTTTGGATACAGATCCATTTCCCATCCGTAAAGTTTCAAAATCACCAGGAGTGTAAGATGTGAAGAATTCTTTCTTTGTAGCAACATGGTGTGCAGCTCCACTATCAAGTACCCAAAGAACCTATTGCTGGCAACATTAATCATACTTCCATCATGAACAACAGCCAAATCAACTGAAGTAGCAACACTGACACGATCACCATTTTCATCATTGCCATTCTTTTCTTGCTTGCCTTTATTGGTTTTGTTATCCTTTTTCCACTTGTAACAGTATTTTTCCACTTGTAACAGTACCGTTTGATATGCCCAGATTTACCACAATAATGACATTCACGGCTCTTATACCTTGACTTTGATTTACTCCTACTCTTACTTCTATTGTTGTGATCATGACTTCTACTCTTGCTTCTCCCCCTGTTTTCAGTAACCAAAATATCTGACTGTGATGTGGAAGCGCCCTGACTTCTCCTTCTTACTTCTTCATTCAGAACACCACTCTTCACATACTGCATAGTTACAACACCATCAGGAGCAGAATTTGTCAAAGATACCCTAAAGTTTTCCCAAGAGTCAGGAAGTGTATTTGTATTCAACAACAAAGTCCCATAATGTCCTCATCAAACTGACACCCATATTTGGATAACTGATCAAAGATACCCTGAAATTCATTTACATGCGTCCAAGGTACTGAGCTCCCCTTCTTGCTACTGCCAGCGTATTGGCTTGCCTTTAAGTAAGAACAACTTGTTGTTACCAGTTTTAGAAGCATACAAAGATTCTAGCTTTTCCCACAAAGTTTTGGCATTTGTATCATTAAACAATATGCATTAATAAAGTTTTGGCATTTGTATCATTAACAATATGATTATATACATTATCCTCAACCCATTGCCTAAGAAAACCACATACTTGCTGATGCTCAAACTCCCATTCTTCATCAGACTTAGACACAGGCTTACTAGCAGCAAATACAGGCAAATGTAGTTTCTTTAAAAACAAAAGGTCTTTCATCTTTCCTTTCCCAGTGTGATAGTTTGTGCCATCCAAACAAATCATTTTACTCATATTTACCTCCATAATTCAAACAAGCAAAAAATGCTCAATCAACAAAATAACTGCAGCTCTGATACCACTGTGATGGGAAGTAACACAAAATCTGACCTACAAAAACTTCCCACTTGAATGAATCGTATTAGGAGTAACAATGAGCAACAAATTCAAGCAACACAAGCTGTCCCAAAATTATACACAATCAAGAACTAACATTTCAACCACCTATGAACACAAATCTTTTCTACGTGGAAAAACTCCTCCGCGTTGTGAAGGATTAAAAACCACGGACCTCTCCTCCGGCTCCAAGGAAATAAAGTTCACTATCACAAAATTGTCTTACAACTTACAGCAACTACAACATCAAAATTATAGTAGCTATACACAACAAAACCACAAATAAATGTGTGGGAACACAATAGAGTGCATCACAAACACAGCTGCTGTTCTCAATACATTTAAAAATGTTCTTACTCATCCAAAATTAAACTGATTCAGCCAGAATCAAGAGTTGGATGTCAGGAACAAGGCGCCCTCACACAAAAAATCAGCTCCAATTCGACCAAAGGATGACGTACTCATCCAAAAATTAAACTGATCAACCAGAATCAAGAGTTGGATGCTAGGAACAAGCTCACCAAAAATCAGCTCAATCCGACAAAGGATGACTGCCGAAACGCTAAAGAAGATGAAGCTATGCAGAGCTGGAAGCAAAACAGGATAGCTTCGGATTCAGAGCCAAAACTCAATCTCTGAACCTCCAAATGAAAATCCCTATGGTGCGAATCAAGAACAAAGAGCAAAGAGCAAAGAACAGCATATCCAAAAATCACAAAGATCCAACGGTTGGAACTCTTGGAATCTCCAGAACACGATGGCTGGTGCTGGATGGGGCTGTGCAGAAAAAACCCTCTCCTCTCCTCTTCTTTTCTGTTTTTCTCACTCTGTTTTGAATGTGTGTGATCAAATGAGAGCCAAAAATATTAGAGAATATGGCTGTTTGTGAGGGCATTAGGCTGTTAGTTGAGGGGCATAATTGTAAAACAATAATTAGTTAGTGGACTTCAAAATATGGGCTTTTACCACATAGGAAGGGAACCCAAACCCAACACCTTATCCTCATCCCATTTCATCGTTCCGTGAGAGCATTACACTGTAGTATTTTAGCGGTCTCAGGCCACCTGCACCAACTACAAACACGAAAAAAATTGGGTTTTTACTGATAGCAACGGCGATTGGCAATAGAAACATGCATGATGGTTGGGACTTAGATATTGATAATAGCGAGCAGGCGGCAAGTGAGAATAATTAAAATCGCAATTTTCAATTCAAAAAGTCCAAGAGAAGCTCTAATGGCAAAAGTAGACCCATTAATCTGAAACTGTGATTCTCAAAGGCATGTTGAATAGATTGTCGATGCTTGGCCCAGTTCACTTAGTTCTGGCTGCTGAAGCAATTAGGTTGGAGCCTTTGTGAGCTGATGCTTATGAGAAACAAGTGAAGGAATTAACGGCTTTTTGTTTTTTGTTTTTTTTTTTTTTTTTTTTTTTTTTTTTTTTTTTTTTTTTTTTTTTTTTTAAAGCTTTTTATTTCTTTTTTGAATATTTGGAATAATGAGTTATTACTGGGATTTTTCTTTTCAATATGAAAAATGCTTCATTTGATATTACGTCTTATAAATTCCATTTCATGAAAAAAATTTAAGGCAAACTCTTTCTTTTTTTAAAAATTTTGCTAACAAGGCATTATTTTTTTTTCTTCATATTTATACTTAATATATATATTATATATATTATTATATACTTTATATTTATATTTGCTTTAGGCCCTTTGAATATATATTTGTTAGCTTTTGAAGAGGAAAGTTTAGGGTCAATTCTGTCATTTAAAAGTTTTCTCTTCCATTTGACCACCTTTTTAGGGTTTGCCTCACGGCTAAACAATACTAACCAATTCAAACAAGAGGTGGGATAGTTTCAAAAACAAGAGGTGGATTTATACAGGTTGTGAAGTTGTTAGAATTTTTCTCTAACAGCTTTATATCATGCTCTTTTTTTTTTTAATTAAATTACTTTTTATCATATGAATTATTACCAAATTAATGATCTTACAAGGGCAATTAATGTTCTAAGCCAATAGTTTGTGAACATCACATAATAGGTAGGTGAAAGGTATGACCTGGTCAAGTATGTCCATGGAATGGAATCTGAATTTGAATTTCTATCTTCAAGCACAGCCCTTCACTTGTCAACCCAAATACAACTTCAATTAGGTCATCTTCCATTTCCTTCTCCCTCTCTCTCTCTCTCTCTCTCTCTATCCAGAAATTAAAAAAAAAAAAAAAAAATCCTACTTTTTTCCTTTCTTTTCCTTTTTCCACCCTTTCACAATGTCTCTCTCCATCCCTCCTTCTGGCTCCCTCTCTCTCTCTCTCTCTCTCTCTATCCAGAAATTAAAAAAAAAAAAAGAAAAAAATCCTACTTTTTTTCCTTTCTTCTTCCTTTTTCCACCCTTTCACAATGTCTCTCTCCATCTTCCTCCTCTGGCTTGTTAGCATCCCTCTCTTATCCCATTCACTTCCTGCTCCTAGAGGTAACACTATAACTTATTTTTGTTTTCTATTTTTTTTTTCTATTCTTTTCCCCTTTTCATGTGATAATGAATAAATTACTTTGTACAAAGGGAATGAAGAAAGAATAATATAAGCTTTACAAAAGATTAACTTTATTTTTGCACCATTTTTAGATACTATAAAGTGAAATTTCCTTCTATGAAACAAACTACTAATGATTAGATATATGAATATCTTTAAACAAGAGGATGAATTTTTAGAAGTAAAAAAGGAGCTGGGGTTGGATATTTTATGTTAGGGAAGAAGCATTAATCCCTAATCTCATATTAAGTTGTAGTAAATTAATAATGATTCAAACATATATATGAATTATTAATAGCATTCGAGGACTTTTCAATGATGGAACCTTCTACCCTTGAATTACTAATATGACCACAAACTAAATTTAGTTACTAGTTAGGGTGGGATTCAGGTAAACCTCGTCCAACAGAAACGAAACTTGGTTTCAAACCCTTGACATTTTAGGTGTCAGGTTAAGTTCACTCCGGATGCAATTCACTTCCTCTGATCCAATTGTCTGTTAATTATTTAGTTCCTAGATTAAATGCATATAAAGAGGCTAACTTAAAATGCAGGTTTTCCTTTAAGCTGTGGTTCATCGAGTGAGATAACTCAAGGAAACATCAAATACATTCCAGATGAAGGATACATATCAGTAGGAAACAAAACAACCATCAAAACACCTGGTTTACTACCTCTTTTATCTACATTGCGATATTTTCCTGATGCATCAGCTCGAAAATATTGCTACGTATTTCCAACAGTCAAAGGAGGGAAATACTTAATTAGGACTACTTATTACTATGGAAGCTTTGATGGAGGGAAAACACCGCCGGTTTTCGATCAAATTGTGCAGGGAAATAAATGGGGAACTATTAATACAACAGAAGATTATACCAATGGACTTAGTACATATTATGAAATTATTGTGCTTTCTATGTCCAGAGAACTTAGTGTTTGTCTTGCAAGAAATAACGAAACGACAAGTAGTCCTTTTATATCAGCTCTTGAAGTGGAAAATCTTGATGACACAATGTATAATTCAACAGATTTTTCTAACTATGCACTTGCTACTCTTGCTAGACATTCTTTTGGATATCTAGAATACATTGGGTAAGTAAACATGGCATTTCCTTCTTTTTTCTTGTTCTTCTAGTGCTGCTTTGTATACGTATAAACTGAAATTAAATTTGAAGGAAAAAAAAAAAAAAAACAAGATGATGCTTCTAACAAATTCTCATTTTGGGTATGTAAAATAAAAATAATAATAATAAAACAAAAAACTTGAAAACTAGCTTTCCAGATGATCCATACAACCGGCTATGGCAACCATTCTTGGACCAGAACCCAATAGTAGAAAGTCACTCAAGTGTAACTAGCACAGATTTTTGGAACTTCCCTCCAATGAAAACATTCACAACTGCAATCACAACAAGCAGAGGAAAGACAATCAATCTCTGGTGGCCGGCAGTGTCACTTCCGAGCACAAAATACTACATTGCACTCTATTTTCAAGATAACCGGACGCCAAGTCCATTCAGTTGGAGAGTATTCAGTGTGTATGTGAATGGAAAGATTTTTTATGAAAATCTTAATGTATCAACGAAAGGTGTAACTGTTTGTGCATCAGAATGGCCTCTTTCAGGGAAGACTGAAATTACCTTGACTCCTGGTAAGAATATTCCTGTCGGACCCATAATTAATGCTGGTGAAGTCTTTCAGATTTTGCCTTTTGGTGAAAGGACTCTTACAAGAGATGGTATGTCACTGTTCTTTAACCTTAACCGCAGTTTTCTTAATGTATAAACATTGTTCTATGTCTTCTCTTGACAAAATGTTTCTGGTTTTGAATGAATATCGCAGTGATGGCTATGGAGGATTTGGCTCGAAACTTTGACAATGCGCCTCCCGATTGGAAAGGTGATCCGTGCTTGCCTAATAACAACTCATGGACTGGAGTTTCTTGTTCTAAAGATAAACTGCCCAGAATTGTCTCTTTGTAAGTTCATTTGAATGGTTAAATCCAAAAAATCATATATCAAATATCAAAAAACCTTCTCTTGGAAAAATATCCACCCGTCTTTCTGTAACATATGGCGTGTGCCGCAAACTTCATGCTCTAGATGTTCACGTGATGGTGTGTTATCTCACATTGGTTTTGGACTGAGGTCTTTATTCAAAATATAAGATTTGAATAATCCTCTCTTGATATAGTTTTTGGAAAGTGAGCTAGGCCCAATCCATTTTATAACATGGTATTAGAGTCTACTCTGCTTTAATGTTGGGTCATTTTGAGATATGTTTGCCTGCAAACTTCACGCTCTAGATGTTCATGTATGGTCGTGTCATTCCACGTTTGAATTACACCCGGTCCATTTTATAATACACAGATTTTGAAAAATTGTTAATGTGATTTCTAATATGGTATAAGAGCCCATTATTTTTCAATTCCTATTTAAAAAATTATATTCCGGCGCGACTCAAAAGTGAGCTTTGCATGTCATTCAGGAATCTTACAAAAATGGGAATCTCTGGGTCTATAGCTCCAGGCATAGCCAATTTAACAGCACTCACTCACATGTAAGTACCTTCAGTTTTCCTAACATTTTAGTTGATTAATAAAGATTGTTTCAGATTTACTGATACTTTATTACAGTTTGCTAGGAGAGAACAAACTCTCAGGTGCTATTCCAGACATGAGCTCATTGAATGAACTACAAATTCTGTATGTCACTTTTCAAAATTTTTTTTCTTTTTTTTATCTTATTCTTGCCAATCAAATTCTAAAATTTTCTTTCTAAGGGCTATGATTAATCTAATATCACTTAAATCAACAAACAAGTTCTTTATTTTGACCCAAAATCGCAATTAGCAATAAGAACACCATTAATCTTTTATTTTCTTTTTTATAATATATCATTAAGGCACTTGGAGGACAACCAGCTTGAAGGATCAATTCCTCAGTCTTTAGGTCGGCTTAAAAAGCTTCAAGAGATGTAAGTTTAATTTTGAATGCAAAATGTGACAATACTTTCAATAAAGTTAATTAATTATCAACTAATTAATTATGTTTTTACTTTTGGTTGACAGATTTCTTCAAAATAACAATCTAAGTGGCAGAATCCCACCATCACTGGAGAACGATGACGGCATAAATATTCAGTAATATACTTTTCCCGATTAATTGTTCTTTATACCAAAGATTTCAACTATTGTTGTTAATTTTCTGAATAGGGTTAATTACAGAAACATGCTTTGAGGTTTGCCTTCATATGCTTTCGACCCATGTCACCAAAAATAAAAATTTGATAATTTAGGGACTAAAGTGAAAATAATTTTAAAACTTTAAGAACTAAAGTGCAATCAAATTTCAAAAGTCAACGAAGTTAATAAAGGATTGGAGTATCGAGTCATCAATAATCTTAAAGACAATCGATCTAAAGCTTGCTGCACAACTCGCTCCGACTCCACATCTAAAGCACTAGTTGCTTCATCTAATAGTAATATTTCTAGGTTCTTTAGAACTGCTCTAGCAATAGCCACTCTTTGCTTCTGCCCTCCAGATAGTTGCACCCCTCGCTCACCGACTTTCGTTGAGTAACCCTCTGGAAGAGAACTAATGAAACTATGAGCATTTGCAAGTTTGGCAGCTTCAATCACTTCTGCTTCAAAGGCTCCTTCTTTCCCATATAAGATGTTTTCATAGATTGATGTTGCAAAAAGAGCTGGCTCTTGTTGAACTAGGCCAATGTGCTTTCTTAGAGATTTTAGCTTCAGTTTCTTGATATCTATGCCTGTGCCAATACAGTTACATCCTCATCAGACTAAAACAATATAAAATACAAATTTCATCAATAAGTTTGCTTTAATTAGCAAATTTGTTTGCTATTCAAATTTTCAAGAAGCCAAACTGAATCTAGAAAATCCCGGTCGCTCCGTGCGTGGCCGTCGCCTCCGCAGCAGTCCTGCTCTTCAACCGCAGTACCAGTAGCCAGCTCCTCCATCTGCATTCTTGAAACAATTTAGCCATTGCTGCTATATCAGAGCTGTACTTTAGAGTGGGGAAAGATTTTAACGATAGAGACAAAAGAGATCCGATATGAAACAGATGATGGGTCGGCAAGTGATATGTCAGCTTCGCTTTGGTTGCTTTACAACTGTGGCTCAACCTGCTTAAAAACCTGCTTGTAGTAGCCTCTGAAAGTGAGAGGCAGTTTGAACGAACATGAGCCAAACATAAAGCCAAACACAAAGAAAACCCTAAAACTCAAAAACAAAGAAGCTGCCGTTCTAAATCAAAGAAAACCCTAAAACTCAAAAACAACATTTCCTATTTATATCAAACCCATATACCATACCCATTTTTCACTTAACCCGAATCCACCCAATAAGAAAGAGCCAAAACATAAAGCCAAACACAAAGAAAACCCTAAAACGTCAAAAACAAAGAGCCTTGCCGTTCTAAATCAAAGAAAACCCTACAAACTCAAAAACAAACATTTCCTATTTATATCAAACCCATATACCATTACCCATTTTTCACTTAAAAAAACCGAATCCCACCCAATTTAAGCCCAACTAACCCAAAACCCATTAACCCATACAACTAAACCATTTTTACAGCTGTAAATTCAGTTACATTGAAGGGAATTGTTACTATACAGTAGGTCCCTAGGATCTAGACTATGACAAGTACACTTGTAAATATAATAAAACATAGTGTACAGCTTTCATATTTTCAATTTGCAAGCATAATGATACAAATTCTTTTTCATTTCTTTTCTGCATTTCTGATTCATGGTATCAGAGCCTGAATCTGGTATCTGAAATACTAACTGAAATACTAAAGCTTCATTCAAGCTTTTCTCCTGAAATCAATGACAGACAATACTAATCAAAACAATGAAAACACAAATGTTGAATCAGAAACTTATAAAGTTTCTGCATCTGAAAATTCAACTTCAAACCTCATAAATATCTCCTTGAATGGCCGGAATTTCTTATCATGGAGTAGATCTATGACCATAGCTTTGAGATCTATGACCATAGCTTTGAAGGCCAGAGACAAGTATGAATTTGTCACTGGTGAAGAACAAGAACCTGTAGCTGGATCTCCATTGAGAAAGAGATGGCAGAGAATCGACAATTTGGTAACATCCTGGATCCTAAACTCTATTTCAAAAGATTTGGTTGAAGCATTTCTGTATTATCAAACTTCCAAAGATCTCTGGAATGAACTGTCCACTAGGTATGGTGAATCCAATGGACCTATGATTTACCAAATAAAAAAAGATATTTCAGTAACTGTACAAGGTAACCAAACAGTAGCTAATTACTACACAAAACTTAAAAAATTCTGGGATCTACACAAAACTTAAAAAACTCTGGGATGAATTGGCTTGTTTAAGGCCCATTCCCAAGTGCATCTGTGGAATTGTAGAAGGATGTACCTGTGGTGTTATGAGAGCAGTTTCAGATCTAGATGGAGAAGAAAAACTCATGCAATTCCTCTTAGGATTAAATGATACATATGACAATGTTAAGAATCAAATCCTTCTTATGGATCCATTTCCAAGCATGAGTAAAGCTTATTGAATGGTGCTGAGTGTTGAAAAACAGAGGGAGGTAAATACTGTGATCTATGATTCAAGCGAGAATAGCAGTGCAATGTATGTGCAAAAATCAAATTACAACAACAAAAATACAAGTCACAATGCTTATTCAATGGTGCTGAGTGTTGAAAAACAGAGGGAGGTAAATACTGTGATCTATGATTCAAGCGAGAATAGCAGTGCAATGTATGTGCAAAAATCAAATTACAACAACAAAAATACAAGTCACAATTTCAGATCTAAGATTGAGAAGCATTGTGATCACTGCAAAGGGACTGGTCACACTAGAGAAACATGTTTCAAACTAAAACTAACTGGTTATCCAGATTGGTTTACTGAACTCAAAAAGAAGAAGAAAATTCAAGCACATTATGGCCAAGCAAGTGATGCACAGCTGAATGCTAATTCAGGAGGCAATGAAAATGATGTGTCCAGAATGGTGAGAATGGAGATCCAGCGTGCATTCAAAGATAAAATGCAGTATGATGATAATGCAGGAGACACACCTATAGCCAATGCAGTCAATTTTGCAAGTCAGGAGACACACCTATAGCCAATGCAGTCAGTTTTGCAGGTATTGTCTCTCTTTTTCATTATAATGTGCATGATAAATGTGAATTAGTTCCATGGATTGTTGACAATGGTGCAACTGATCATATGACATACATGCATCATCTATTTCATACATTAACCAAATTACCCAAACCTAGAATAGTAACCTTACCTGATAACTCCACCAGAACTATAACACATATTGGCAAGATCAAAATACATGACAGATTGGTGTTAAAGGATGTGTTATATATACCAACATTCAAATGCAATTTATTATCTGCATCAGCCCTTGCAAAAGACAATGCAATATCAGTAAAAACCCTACCTGACCACTGTTTATTATAGGATTTGCAGACTGATGAAGTAGTAGCTATTGGCAAGTTAAGTGGAGGCTTGTATTTTCTTGATAAGAAGTGTTTTGTGCCTGTTAGTAGTACTGAAGCTCTACTTACTTGTACTACACATGATGATCATTTGAGACTATTATGGCATCTTAGATTGGGTCATATCTCAATGGCTAGACAAAATCATATAATGAATTTTAATACAAGCAGTGGTACTCTTACTTGTAATGTTTGCCCTTTTGCAAAACAACAAAGACTACCATTTTATCCAAGTTGTAATAATGTTAAAGGCATATTTGATTTAGTACATATTGACCTATGGGGACCTTATCCAATTACTTCTTTAACTGGTGCCAGATATATGCTCACTATTGTGGATGATTATAGCAGATACACATGGGCCTACATGCTACCAAACAAACAACAAGTCCACTCAATCCTTGACCACTTTACCAACCTAATAGACACCCAACTTGACCACTTTACCAACCTAATAGACACCCAATTTCATACCAAAATCAAGACAATAAGGACTGAAAATGGCACTGAATTTGTGAATAATGTAGTGAAGACATTATTTCTTTCTAAAGGAATTACACATCAACTATCGTGCCCTTATTCCCCACAGCAAAATGGGAGAGTGGAGAGAAAACACAAAGAAATTTTGAATATTGGGAGAGCTCTACTTTTTCAGGCTAAATTTCCTAAACTTTTTTGGTCTGAAGTTCTCCTATCTGCAGTTTACCTGACCAATAGAGTGCCTTCTGCACTCTTAGACTGGTTAAGCCCTTTTGAAAAACTACACCAAACAAAACCAGACCTGACACACTTGAAAGTTATAGGCTGTCTGTGTTTTGCAACCAATACTAAACCACAAACCACACAAAGACAAGTTTGATCTAGAGCTAGTTTGATCCTAGAGCTAAATCATGTGTGTTACTGGGTTATGGGGCTCAACAAAAGGGTTACAAGATTTATGATATGCACACTAAGCAAATTTTTTACTCAAGGGATGTTATATTTAAGGAAACAGTTTACCCCTTCCATCACAACACCCCTCTTGAATCTTGTACATTCAACATTCCAACATGTTTAGAAGACACTGATTCACTAATCCCTACCCATCCAATCCCACCTACAAACGTGCCTAACCAAGACCAAATTGACCAACAGACTGCACCTACAAATGACCTAGACAACCAACCAATCACCCAAACAGACAATAATCAAACATTACACATAGACCAACCAGTTAACCAACCAGTTACATCACTTAGAAGAAGTATAAGAAATTCCAGACCACCTGCATGGATGATAGATTATGTCACAAATTGTGCAAATTCCAGTCCCAAACCTTTTCCACTCAATTCACCCTATTCACATGCATATGTATCATTTGTATCTAATGTCAACAAAATTCATGAGCCAATGTCATATCATCATGCTATTTCTAATGAAAATTGGGTGCAAGCAATGCAAAATGAACTGCAGGCCTTGGAAGACAATGGTACATGGATTTTAACTGAGTTGCCTAGAGGGAAACGGGCCATTGGATGCAAATGGGTTGCAAATGGGGTCTATCAGGGAAACGGGCCATTGGATGCAAATGGGTATACCGGGTCAAATATAAACAGGATGGGACTGTAGACAGATACAAAGCTCGCCTGGTTGCTAAGGGGTTCAATCAAAAACTAGGCATTGACTACAATGACAGTTTTTCTCCTGTTGCTAAAATGGTGACTGTAAGAATTTTATTTGCTCTAGCTGCTAAATACTAATGGAATCTTCACCAACTTGATATTAACAATGCCTACCTACATGGTTTTCTTGATGAAGACATCTACATGCAACCCCCAGCTGGCTATTTTAAGGCTTCTAATGGCCAAGTATGCAAACTGACTAAATCCCTCTACGGTCTAAAACAAGCTGGCAGAATGTGGAACCAGGAATTGACTACTACTTTACTACAGTATGGATTTCAACAATCAATGAATGATCACTGTCTATTTACCAAAGGAGAGGGTAAAGAATTTCTAGCACTTATTGTCTACGTGGATGACATTTTAGTTGCTGGCCCTGACATTCAACTCATATGCAATATCAAAGAATTTCTTCATTCCAAATTTACTATCAAAGACCTCGGCCATGCAAGATTTTTCTTGGGTATTGAAATCCTTTGGTCCAGTGATGGCATATATTTATCACAAAGGAAATTCATTCAAGATATGCTGTTAGATTCAAACATGCAGCACGCCAAACATGCTTCCACACCATTAATACAAGGTCAAAAGATTCATGCAAACATGGGACCATTACTCACAGAACCAGACAGCTATCGTAGACTAGTGGGGAGATATCGTAGACTAGTGGGGAGATTACTTTACCTGAGTTTTACCCGACCTGACATTACTTACTCAGTTCAACAATTATCTCAGCACATGCAACATCCCTGTTAGGGTCACATGGTCGCCGCCTCTCATGTTCTACGCTACTTGGCCTCTACCACAGATTTAAAGTTATTTTTTCCTACCTCTTCGGTGCTTGATCTCCAAGCGTACTATGACGCTGATTGGGGGGCTTGCATTAAGACTCGCCGGTCCCTTACTGGTTACTGTGTTTTTCTGGGTACCTCGCTCATCTCATGGAAAACAAAAAAACAAAATGTTGTTAGTCGTTCCTCCGCCGAATGTTTTTCTGGGTACCTCGCTCATCTCATGGAAAACAAAAAAACAAAATGTTGTTAGTCGTTCCTCCGCCGAAGCAGAATACAGATCTATGGCTAACACAGTGTGTGAAATTATTTGGATTGACAAAATCCTCACAGATCTACAAGTCAAAGTACAAAAGCCCATACCTTTATTCTGTGACAACCAAGCTGCGCTACATATCGCTGCCAACCCAGTTTATCACGAGCGCACCAAGCACATCGATATCAACTGCCATCTCATCCGCCATCACATTCAATCTGGTCTCATTGCAACAAAACATCTACCTTCCACGTCTCAGCTTGCTGATATTTTCACCAAATTGTTACCCATTTCTCATTTTCGTCACATGACTGTCAAGTTGGGCTTGGTTTCCTTGCCCCAGCTCCAACTTGAGGGGGGCGTGAACGAACATGAGCCAAACACAAAGAAAACCCTAAAACTCAAAAACAAAGAAGCTGCCGTTCTAAATCAAAGAAAACCCTAAAACTCAAAAACAACATTTCCTATTTATATCAAACCCATATACCATACCCACCATACCCATTTTTCACTTAAACCCGGAATTCCACCCAATAAGCCCAACTAACCCAAAACCCTATTAACCCATTACAATAAACCCATTTTTACAGCTGTTAATTCAGTTATCAATTGAGGATTTGTATACCCTTATACAGGTAGTCCTAGGATTAGGCACGTATACAATACACTTGTAAATATTAATAGAACATAGTGTACAGCTTTTCAATTTCAATTTTGAAGAAAGATACAAATTCTCATTCTTCATTTCTTTCTGCATTTCTGTTCACAGTTTTAGAGAAGTGCAAAAGGGAACCTTTCCTTAAGAGGGTTCGAAGTGATACAAAACAATAACCTGCATCTTGATATTGCAGCCTATCTCTTGTTATGCTCCAAGCTCCCTGTTGGCAGTTCACATTCAAGCAAGACCACGCCGTCTTCCGGCAGATCCAGCTAACGCCGGATAGAGCTCCACTGCAACGACTTGTCTTCATGGTGGGCCCATATTGAGACTTTCCTTTCTTTTTTGTGTCGGTCAATTTAAAAAAAAAAAAAAAAAAAAAAAAAAAAAGCATGAAAGAAGGAATGATTAAAAAAAAAAAAAAAAAAGATGAAAGAAGGAATGATGGAGAGCATCAACTCCTGACCCCGACACTGTGTCCTGCTGTCTCGATTACACAATTGCAATGACTAGCCTTCCTTGCGGGCCCATTTTTGAGAATCCTTTCTTCTTTTGTGTCGGTCAATTAAAATCACAAAGAAATACTGAATGATGGAGAGCATAAAAGCGTGACCTCGTCCCTATGTCTAGCCCAACTGTCTCAAACACTGTACTTGTCCTTAGACTCAATTCAAATAAATTCAAATAAATATACCCCTCTAAAATACTCTTGCGCTATGCATGTTGAACTTCTTGCAATTGCATGACCGCAATTATGTCACTCAGCACTTTCTCTTCGACCAACAACTCAAACCCAAAATGGTATTGATTCCTTGCCACCTTCTGCTTCAGCCATGCAAATTAATACAAACGTATGCAGTAGTGATGGAGCATTTTTACTTAGCACCTCAGTTAAAGTGGCGAGCCCTAGTATTCAAGGCCGCAAAGAGCCATGACATTCCTATGTTGAGGGATGGGCAACCCTCGAGCAGTGAGTGCTCTAAAGGATCTTGTTCGTGCCAATAAGCTCATGTTCTGCTTTCTTATGGAGACAAACGTAGCTTCCTCTTATGTTAAAAACTTAAGTCTGCAGTGTGGTTTCTCCTCTTCTTTTTCAGTTGATTGTCTTGGTCGAAGTGGTGGTTTAGCTGTTTTCTGGAATAATAATTTGAATGTTGATTTTTATTCCTACTCCCCAAATCATTATTCCTACTCCACCAAATCACCATGATATTGCAACATAACTTATGGACTTTGCATTACTTGGGCGAATGATTGTGTGTATATGGGTTCCCTGACATCATAGGAAGGCCTAGAACACTTGGACTTCTCCTTAAAACTCTTAGCTAGGTCAGCACAACCTTCCTTTGGCCTTGCTAATGGGCGACTTTATAATTTCTACTTGCAAGATGATGATGAGAAATAGGGGGCCATCCTTAGAGCTACATAATCTTGAGGGATTTTCGAGAAGCCCGTTGTGGCATGCGTTGGAGGTGTGTCGGGTCTCCGATCTTGTTATGGTAGGGTATCCGTTCACATGGCATTCTGGTAGGGGGCGTAACAAAATTGAGGAAAGATTGGACCGAATGGTGGCTTCAGATACATGGTCTAGCTTTTTCCCAAATGCTTCGGTTCACAACTTAATTAGTGGCACATCGGACCATTCTCCAATATTGCTTTTATTGGGCACTGACCTAAGGACTAAAAGAAAAGTTAGCTTCAGGTTTGAAAATGCATGGATTGGGGAGCCTAACCTTGATGAGACTGTTACTCATAATTGGGCCCGAGGAGCCCACGGTGATGTGATGGGTAAACTACAAGCATGCAGAGCTGGGTTGCGAAAGCATGCAGAGCTGGGTCTCTTCCCGCAGCTCGTGCCGAATTTTTGGCGGGACGTGACTTACGTAGCATAGTTCCTTAAGAAATTAAATTGCTTAAAACCCCGCACTTTAATGGCTTTCGAGAGTCACCAGCGCCAGTGACAGTTCAGCAGAGTACAATTCCTAATACAAAAAGCAGCTTGCTGCTGATTTGCCTTCTTAAAGAAGGCAGCATGCGAAACAGCGCATAAAAATATTATGGCTTTGCTCTCAATTGGGCGACAAAAATACCGGTACTTCAACTCCTCAGCTTCCTCACGTTAAAAAATTTAAACTATCTATCCAGGGTATCCGCTTACTCAAGATGCGCTGACTGGAAAGAAGAGCCGAGGGATATTGGCGTAATGTGTTTCTAGAAATACTTCACTACACTATTACGGCCACACCTTTCCAGTCTAGTTCCTGTTCTTGAGCATGTTTGATTCTTGGAGTCACTGAAATTGATTATGACAATCTTATGGGCCCCTGTTCTTGATGAGGAGTTCGGATCCGGGGGCGGGATTTTATTATTTTCCAAAAATTGGGGCCACCCGGACAAGAGTCCTGGCCTGATGGGTTTCAAACCCATGTTTTCTTTCAGAAAATTTTGGTTCAGTTGTTGGGTTCAGGATGTTACTACTAGCTGTAAACGGTGGAGTTACACACGGTCTTTTCCTAAATCTGGTGAATGAGACCAACATTTGCTAATTCCAAAAATGTAAACCTGAATTTGTGAAAGATCCTGCGGCCAAATTTCCCTATGTAATGTCTTATTATAAGATTGTGGCAAGAGGTCTTAAGCTAATAGGATGAAGCATTGTCCTGAGTAAAAATTGTTCTCCCATTCTATGTTCTGCTTTGACCTGGGAGGCTTAATTACGGAACAAGTAATTCTTGCCTTTGAAACAATAACCATTCTAGAAAACCGTGGAGGAGTCAAGAACAAACCAACGGGCTCTGAAGAATTTGATATTAGTAAGGCCATATGATGAGTTGACTGGTTCCTATTTAGGAAAGCTATAAATGGACAAGACTGGGTATAATGACAAGACTTGGGTTCTGTTCCGAATTCATTCAGTTGATTATGATGTGTGTTACATCGGTCAGGTATCATGTACTTGTTAATGGTGAAAGGGTTGGTCCTATTACTCCATCTCGTGGGTTGAGACAAGGGTGCCCTCTATCTCCATACTTGTTTCTACTATGTTCTGAGGGGCTTTCGACTTTATTTATGCATGCAGAGGCAGTAGGGTCAATCCATGGGGGTTGTATTTGTCGAGCTACTCCGAGGTTGTCTCATCTTTTATTTGCTGACGACAGTCTGTTTTTCTTTAAAGCTAAAGCAGAAGAAGCTACAGCGGTTGCACATATCTTAAAACAGTACGAAGCAGCATCAGGACAGGGTGTTCAGGACAGGGTGTGAGTTTGCAAAAATCGGGGATTTTTTTCAGCTCTAATGTGGAAGTCTCGGTTAAAGAGCAGATTATCAATATTTTGCAAGTCTCTCAACCCTTAAACCATGGCAGATACCTAGGACTTCCTTCCCTAGTTGGACGAAACAAGAAGGCGATCTTCTCCTTTCTTCAAGATAGATTGAGAAAGACCATTTCTCGATGGAGCCATAGACTCAGGAAGTAATGATTAAAACTGTAGCTCAGGCGATTCCATCCTACTGCATGAGTACTTTCCTTCTCCCTACTTCCTTCTGTGACGAACTGCAAAGAATTATGAATTCTTTTTGGTGGGGTACACAGGGTCCGAGCGGCAAAGGTATTCATTGGCTCTGTTGGGACCGAATGTGTGTGGGAAAGACTATGGGCGGCCTTGGCTTCCGACATCTCTATTCCTTTAACATTGCCCTAGTTGGTAAACAGATTTGGCGACTTGTCACCGAGCCGAATACTCTTCTATGTTCCGTTCTCAGAGCAAAATATTTTCCGGGGGGGAATGTTTTGGATGCACTCCTAGGGCATAATCCCAGCCTTATATGGAGGAGCATGGTCTCGGCTAAGTCACTTCTCAAAAGAGGGTATAGATGGAGAATTGGCAACGGTTTCAAGTGTTAAACATTTGGAATGACCCGTGTACCAAATGATAATGATTTCTACCCACGTACCCTGTTTCCCTGGTAGCCCTGTTGTCCCTGGTTCTGAGAACACGTCAGTTGGAAATCTAAGGATGTTTAATGGTTGGAATGTGGATTTAATTGCCGGACTGTTCCTTCCAAAGGAGGTGTCACAGGTTCTATCCATCCCGTTTTCTCGGGCTACCCAGGTAGATACACTAATATGGAACTTCTCTACTTCAGGGGAATATCTTGTTAAATCAGGCTACAAACTTGTCCTGCCAAATTTCGTGGAACCTGAAGCAACTGCAACTTTGCCAATTTGGACTAAATTATGGCAATTAGATTCCCCACCGAAGGTTAAGCACTGGCTGTGGCGAGTGTGTCGTAATATTCTACCAACGAAATCTATACTATTTGGCAAGCGAATTACAGAGGATGACCATTGCCCTTTTTGCGGCAAAATAGAGACAACAATGCACATGTTATTCCTGTGTGAGCAAGCTCGACTTTGTTGGACATTAATAGGGATTCCGTTGGATGGATCAGCCACTAGTTTCAGTGATACTCTATTGGGGTTTATTGATCGGCGTAATGATGATCACTGCTTGTTATTCGGTGTATTGTGCTACTTTATCTAGTTTGACAGAAACCGGCGGGTTTGGCAACAAACTAATATTGCTCCTTACAACATTGTTATGGCAGCTACCAGCTTTCTTAGAGAATGGAAGAATGCACAGATTGATCGAAGCAATTCCTCTGTATCGTCGGCTTCAGTTCCGACATGGGCTCCTCCTCCTTGGCTCCTCCTCCGAGCTGGGTTTGTTAAAAGTCTTTGTAACGTGATGCAAGCTGTCCAATATGACTGAAGGGTCGTTCATCGTATGCTGGCCTTGTTCCGAAAATGAAGCGGACAGTTCCTGGTAGCTTGCGACGGGTCATTTTGCTGGGGTGCTAAAACCTCACATCGCAAAGGCCTCGGCCTTGGGGAGGTATTTATTCTTGGTTGCTCACGAGATCTATTGGTAGGTTTTGTAGCTTGCACGGGTCATTTTGCGGGGGTGCTAAAACCTCACATCGCAAAGGCCATCGGCCTTAGGGAGGTTTTATCTTGGTTGCTCACGAGATCTATTGGTAGGGTTTTAGTGGAAACAGATTGCCAACGACTGTTTCAAGCTGTAACTACTAGTTTTGATTCTTTTTCCGATTGGGCACCAGTGCTAGAAGAGATTAAACAACTGCTTTCTCAAATACCATCTAGTGAATTGGTTTGGGTTAGGAGGCAAGGTAACAAGCTTGTACATGCTCTTGCTCGTATGGCATGTTTACATCCTTGTTTCCGTCTATGGGACTCGACTCTCCAATGTATTGCAGATCTTATTTCTCATGATTTATTATAAATATATGATCTTATTTACTTTCAAAAAAAAATAATAATAATCTTAAAGACAAAAATTGTTAATTTTGGAACAATAAGGATCCAAGTGTATTAAGGCAAATCTCAGGGATTATTTTGGGATAAATCCTTTCGGGATCGTGAAAGGATAAAAACTTATTTAGACCAATCTAAAGCTCCACCTCTGGATCAAACTAATTGTAATAGATATTCGTAAAAATTGTTCACATTTACCATTTTTTTCCAGTGAATAGTCAGAAATACTCTCGTTTATATACATAAATAAATAAATTAATTGTTTGGTCTATAGATGCACCTACAGACAGAGCCTAGGCAAGTATTTTTACGATAAAAACATATAGTTTCTAATGACTTAAGTCTACGTTAATCTATATTATTAATTGTTGTGTTATGGTTATAGGGTGTGACTCCTGGTAATCATCTATCTTCTTGAGTAGGCAAAATCCAAGTGAAGCACAGAGCAGTAACAATTTTTCCTTCAAAAGACACTTAACTAGGACGTAATTGGCAACCATTAGGCCTTTAAACATACCATTCATGTTCTCAATTATGTGGATCAAATTAATCAGTAGACGGAAGGAAAAGGTGTAGATATTTCATCAAGTATAATTTTAATCATGCAGTAATTGCATTTTTTGTGAATTTGCTGTGTACAACACTAATGTTTTGTATAATGCTTTGGTGTACAATATGTTATTTGTATATACATATAAGACGATGCTATGTAAACAATTACAAGCTTATTTGGAGTTTTCTGCTCTAGTGGAGCTTCCAATTTTTTCTGCCATTGTTATATGGGAGTCCAAGCTTTCTCCAATCTAATTATGAAATGATGCATCTCTATAGGGGTGTAAATGAGCTGAGTCAGCTTGAAAAATTTTCGAAAAAGTTCGGCTCCAATCGAGCTCGAGCTTAATGATTTTCAGTTCTAAAACTCGTTGAGCTTTTATTTATGTATATCTATAATATTTATTTTAAACTTTTTATTTTGAGCTTCAAGTCGAGCTCGAGCCCAAAATTTTTAGACTCTTCGAATTTCAAACCGAGCTAAATTCTATCGGCCAAGCTTTGAGTCTGACAGGTTCGAACTTGGCTTGACTCGTTTATGCCCCACTTCTCTATAATAATTTTCCCTAGTGACCCTCTACCAAGGTCTTTCAACCATTTCAAATTCTCTTTCTGTGTTATGACATGCCCATTTCACACATGCAGTGAAGAATTGATCCAACAACCACACAGTCTATTTTGATATTCTTTAATATCATGTCATTGAGGACATGATATGCTTTTTGCCAATTCCGACCTTTGCAAAACCCATGAATCAGTTCATTGTAGCAATGCATATCAGGAACCACACCTTCTTTTTCCATTTCAAGCAAGACACTTTCAGCTTCGTCCAATTTCATCTCATTGCAAAACCCACGACTTGCAACACCATAAGCACTTGCATCTATTGGGATGTTATCTGCTTTACATCCTTTAAGCATCTAATATCCCTGTTATGAATTTCCATGCATACAAAGTCCTTTCATAACAACCGTATAAGCTAAAGCATTGGGAGTGACACCAGCGCTCACCACCATGTCCATCAATATATTGATAGCCTCCCTCAAACTACCTTTTTACAAAGGGCACCCATTACAATAGTATATTTATCATCATTACAACTCAAACCCAACTTCTTCAAATTTTCAAAGGTGGCAACTGCCTTATCCAATTTCTTATTCTTAATCACTTTATCGAAAAGAAAATTACAGGTACATACTCGAGGCAAGAATCCTCGCCTACCCATTTGAAATAATGCATGAGTAGCCTCGTCAATCAGTCCAGCTCTAGCGTACAACTTAACTAAGGCATCATACACTTCAAAAAGCAAAGAGGGTTGCTCAGCATCATCAACAACACTATCGCCAAGTTTATCAAGCAAGAGTGAAGCTTCAACAGAATTGTACAAAATAAGATCGAACAAAACTGAATCGAGTCTCTCTTGAAGACCCGCATGGCAAAGGATTGTAATAATAGCTGCATACGTAGAGACATCATGTTCAAAGCCCGAGACTTTCAATTGGCGAAATAAAGAGAGACCTTGATGAGGTTTTTTAAGGCTGTACAAGACATCAGCAATTAATTGGGGTCGTAGTTGTGGGTCAGTTTCATAGTCGCTAGCTGTGTCGGCGTAGGCAATTGAAGTAGAGAAAAATTTAGGTCCGAAGTTAAGAATTGCAGTGGAGCTGCCTTTACTAGTGATGAGTTTTGAATGAAGATGAAAGACTAATTTGGGAAATGAACCCGCCATGGAAGTTGAGAGCTGCATATTCAATTCGAAAAAAAGAACGTTTTGCTAATTGCTAGGGCTTTAAGAAGCCAACCAAAGCATAAATCCTAGGTAGCGTAGTAGTACAAAATAACTTTAGCCTAATTTTCATATATTATTTTGATTATGGCAAACTTTTTGATTTTTTTATATTTTAAAATTAAAAATTCAATTTTGGTATTAAATTTAAATATCAATTTCACGAACAATCAAGCGAAAATAGTAATGATATTTTTTTTAACCACATATTAGTTAACACATATATACATATATTTATCGTATTTGTGATCTTATATTAAGATCCATATATCAAAATTTTTATTTTTATTAATATTAAATAAATTTAAAATGTAATTTAATTTTTAATTACTATAATAAATTTATTGATTTGGAGTGTTTAGGTAATAATATTTTTAAATTTATTAATTTTACTATATAAATTCTTTTAGTTGTTTTATTAATTTATTTATTATAATTGCAGTTGAAGAGTTATTTCATTACTCTTTTTGAAGGATTACGGATAAAAGAGAGACTTTTTAATTAGAATTTTAATTTTTTTTTCAACATCTATTTATAGACTCTACATATACATCAAACCAATCAAAATAAACATATTTAAAAATTATTCCTATTTTATTTTTTTCCGATAAATAGTAAAAAATAATATCATTTCTATAAAATATTATTATTCATTAGCTTGGTCTATGTGTGTATCCATACACAGAATTCAAATAAATCAATCCTAAAACAAATATATGAGGTGAAGTAATTAAATAAATAAACATTTGTGAATTTGACCATTAAAGTTACAAGGAAAATTTTGTCATTTGCATGCCCCAAAAAATTAAATATGTATACATATGACAATTTTTTTTATCCTTTTTTTTTTTTTTTTTACTTCTTGCTTGGATCTTGTGTGTATCATACTTTTATCTAAAACTTATGGGGTGGTTTTATATACATTTGTGAATTTGACCATTAAAAGTTACAAGGTTTTTGTCTTTGCTGCCCATAGAATTAAATTGTTACATTATGACAATTTTTTTTATCCTTTTGTATTTTATTTTGCCAACTAAGCAATAGCACATTTAAAGTTAGATGCATGATGGACATTCACTTAGGAAAAATATATATATAACAGACAACTTGATCTAGAAGACTTGGCATATAATGTTTGGGTAGACAAATATGTAAGCCCCCCCCCCCCATAAAATGTTCCCCGCCAACCCATTCGCGAGAAATGCCCTTTCATGGATCAAAAGATAGAGTTTATTTTGATGCGGAGCAGAACTTGGCACTTATAAATTATAGAAGAAGTTTGGATACCGCTGCAAACACCCAAGAAGAAAGGGCAACGCCGTGCCATAAATTCCACACTCCCGTGCCAGCCTCTAGAAGTCCAGGACGCGAGAATCGCCCAAGCTTAAGTAAGCAACAACACGCTTGTGTCACTTTCCAAACCGCTCGTTGAGCTAGCTTCTGGGAGTCCAAGAGCACCTTTTTTTTTTTTTTTTTGCCAACTAAGCAATAGCACATTTAAAGTTAGATGACGATGATGGACATTCACTATAGGAAAAATAATAATAATAACAGACAACAATTTTGATCTAGAAGACTTGCATATAATGTTTGGTAGACAAAATATGTAAGCCTATTCATTCGAGAATGCCTTTCATGGATCAAAGATAGGTTATTGATGCGGAGCAACTTGCACTTCAATATATAGAAGATTTGGATCGCTGCAAACCCAAGAAGAAAGGGCACGGCCGTGCCATATCCAGCACTCCCGTGCCAGCCTCTAGAAGTCCAGGACGCGAGATACGCCCAAGCTTAAGAAGCACAAACACGCTTGTGTCACTTTCCAAACCGCTCGTGCTAGCTTCTGGGAGTCCAGAGCACTCCCGTTCCATGTACATCATGCTCGTGCCAACTGGCTCAGCTACAATTCGCACATAGACACGCCCGTGTCACTTCCAGCACGCCCCGTGCCAGTCTCTGGAAGCACGAGATATGCTCGTGCCGCCACCCTTACTAGGATTTTGTCTAGTTACGACTTTTATATTATTTTTTTAGGATTTTATGCTTTAACCTAACCTATAAGTAGGTTATTTTGCATCATTGTCACACTTCATTATTCTTTAATCAATATTCACATTCAATAAACTTCCTTGAGAGTTTAATTATCTAATTCCTTCGTCAGATCAAACGTCATTGATCAAAATGCCTAACGGAGTATAATTGTTATCCCCATTCACATAACCATTCTCCGCCAGTTATCCTCTCCTAGTTGTCTGTTTTTGGATTGTCAAATTGTTATTTACGCTTTAAGTTTTAGATTAAATGATTTTTTTGAATTTGATTTAATTATTAAAGACTATAAAGACATTTTACTGGCTAGGCCTAATATTTCTGTTAGGCGGATTAGGAAGCAAGTCAACATAAAGGCTCATACTCTTGCTCAAGTCTTCTAATCTTTGTGCTCGCTTCCAAGTGTGGATGACTCTTCCATATCACTTGTTACCCTTTTATGAGAATTAATACAAGTCTTTCCTTGTATTTCAAAAAAAAAAAATGTTATCAAAAGCGATGATGCAATTTAATTAATGATGAAAATAACTTTTCATTAAAATAAAATAAAATAAAATACCAAAACCCCTTAACTTATTCTTATGAAAACATCATAAATCATAAATAAATAACTTAGTGACTAAAGTGAAGTTATTTTAAAATTTCTAAAATGTAAGCTAATTTCAAAAATTAGTTATTAAACTATTAAGTGGCTCTATTTTGGATATATTCTAAAACACATGAAAACCCATGATCAGTATGAATATGACTGAACTCGAGTTGAACAATATCATACAAGATAATGTTATCTGATTTTAATGTTCCCTTAGAGTTAGTGTTTTTTTTTTTTAGAGTTAGTTTTTTTTTTTTTTTTTTTAACCATTGGTATCCGGATCCCATTATTAGGGACGGCCTAATCCAGCTCAGGGTTTAATCACACTTAAGACTTTTCCCCCCTCCTTGCAGTTCTGTTTAGCGAGGATTTGAACCCAAGAACTCTTCCCACATGTCCAGCTTGCATTGCCAATTGAGCCACAATCCATAGGTAGAATTTTAATTTAATAATAATAGTGCTTCTTTAATTTCAAAAATAACAAATGAACTGGCAAAACAATAATTTTCTAAAATATGATACATGAAATGGAACAAAAAATCATGTTCAACAAAAAATGCAACGAGAATTTTTCAACTTATTGAATCCAAAAAACAACAATTCAATTCCTACTTGAAATGCCACTAAACCTATAAATACTTGATTGAAGCCCTTTTGCTGTATAACCTCCAAAGACAAAGAAGCTTAAGCCAATGACACAAGTGGTAATGGCAAGCCCTAAGGAAGTCGCTAACACTGCAAATGTGCCTGTTACAAATGCAACAACCATTGCTCCGATGGCATATACGATCAACATGTCTTCATATTCCATTAACCATGCAAATCTTGCTCGATATCCATATAAGGGCAACATAAAATGGATTAAGACAGAAGATGTAGAGAGCACCATGGCTATGGCATCTGCTACGACAAATGCTATGAAACTTGAATTTTTACTAAGAATTGCACTGCCTTGATCTCTTTCATTTCCATCACTTTTGTAACCACCAGGTAATGTGAATGCTGCGGCGAAGGTTACTGTTGCCACTAGCGCTGCCACTATTAGCTTAGAGTCGCTAGCTTCACCGTAAGTAGCCACAAAAGCATCCTTCCCTATAATAGTTTTCCCTAATGGTCCTATACCAAGGTCTTCGATCCATTCTAAAATTTCTTTCTGTAAGAAATAATATATATCTTTAGTTAAGTTTATACATTGATTATTAGTCTAGGGATATCCTAGATTAAATATTACTTTCTTATTTTAGATTAAAGTTAACAAATCGATTTCTATTTAGATAATTTATTCACTATATAACGATCGAAAATCATTGAGACTAGAATCAGTAGCTAACACGTGTTTTCTAGTCGTGTACGGTATCCTATTATGAACTGTGCACGTACAATTGTGTGTTTCCTATTTAACTATTTTTTAAAAAATAATAATAATAATTTGTCCTCCACCAACTCAAATTGATTTATGTGCCACTTTTGCAATGAGTTTCAAACAAATAGCTAGAACTAATTATAAAGCCAAAGCAAGCGCAGAGTTAGATTAGAAAGCTGACCTTAAGGGCTGGAGAACGTCGGCATAATCGGTAAATATCGAAGAAATTATGTTCGTATTGAACCAAAGGATCGCCCTTTGCAAGGGGCCTGAGAAAGGGGGAAATGGGTCGCGCATTCAAAACAGCCAAAAAATGGAGAGGTGTGTTCCCTCTAACATCTTTCCCATTTATTAAGTACATGGAGGATGGATTTTGCAGCACTATTTTTAACGCATCGTCACTTCTACTGATCGCTGCGTAGTGAAAAACGCTCCAACCTCTATCGTCAACAAGTTTGAAGCAATCTGGACATTTAGATATAATCTGTCTCATTGATTTTCGATTGCCTTTGCAAGCAGCCAAGTGAAGAGCTGTTCTTTTCCTTACATTATCGGTCATATATGCAACATATTTATTGTATTCCAATAGTTCTTCCACTACTTGACTCGAACCAATATATGCTGCATAATGAAGAGCAGTCCATCCATTCTCGTCTGCTTCATTATTTAAGCTCGTTTTATTCTTCAATATTTCTTGTACAACTCCTGAAAGCCATAGATAGTAACTAAAATAATTCACATAACTATCCAATTGAAGAATTTTCCTTTACTAATACATTATTATTAAGAACTGGGAAGACAACTGATACGATTTTATGTCTAATTGTAAATCATTTAATCAATCAATACCAGAAACAAATAAATCTTGATTTTCTCAGTATGAGGTGAAAGACAACTTATTTTCTCAAAATGTGGTGATTTTTGTATAACTAACAAGATAATTTTTTACGGCATTTTGTTTCAGAATATTAGTGTTACTAGTTTTTTTTTTTTTAACAATTAAGCAATGAACGCATTTTTAATTACTATAAATAATGTTTACCCAATAACTATTTTCTTTTTCGTGTAAACCACCGATATCAGAATTGCATTACCAGAAACCATCTAATCTGGCTCAGAGCTTAGTCACAGTTAAGGCTCTTCTTTTCTCGCTGTAGGTGCGTTTAGTTGGGATCGAATTCCAGGGCTCTTCCCACATGCTCAATATGCGTTGCCAATTGAGCCAAAACCGTAGATTACCCAATAACTATTTTGATCTCAAAGACTTGCATATAATATTTGACGCACAAAATATGCACTTTTTTTTCTATAAATCGTTTTAAAAATTATAATTCTTTTTAAATGAAATTTAAATTTATTTTAAAAAAAAATTTATGTTAGTTACAAGAAGTTTAAGATGTGAATTTCAATCATTTGTAATTGATCTAAGGCTAAGTTTGATCTAATGTAACGCAATGAAAAATATAATGTAATAGTAATGGGGGAGTGGTGGTCGAACGGTGGTGGTACTGGTGGTCGAGAGGTTGTAGTAGTGGTAGAGTTTTAATTAAGACGACTTGATATAATTAGTATTATATGTGCTTGATCTAATGAACAATACATGTGTTTTTTATATAATTAATATTCTATTAATTTAAGTAATAAAGATTACATGTGTAATCTCAATTACATTATATTGTTAAAAAAAAAAAAAAAATCTAAGCAAACAATATAATCAATCATGTAATGGAATTTCTATTCCATTACATGATTGATTACACCATACCAAACATGGTCTAAATTCATAATTCAATAAGTAATAAATACCTAAAATACTCGTAAGAGATAAAAAAAAAAAAAATGGGAAAGAAAATGAAAATGAGAGATAAAAAGAAAAGAGGAGGAAGAGAGAGAAAGTTAGGAGAAGAGGAGGGGAGGTAAATAAAACAGATAAAAAGGGAAGGAGAAAAAAGAGAGAGAAATAGAAGGAAAAGATGGCATTCATTTGAAACTACATTAATTTTGATGAGATTTGACTTAGTTATAGTTTAATATAATTGATAGAATTGAATTTTTTTTTTTTTTTTTAGTATAACAAATACTCAAAAATTGATAAATTCAATTGAACTTTGTAAGATTTTGTGAAATTATTTGGATTATAAATTATTGATATAAAAATCACTTCAATGAAGCATTTTCTTATAAGAGTATTCTCGTCCTCGAGTCCATCAAATTTAGATAATGTCTTGCATATGGTAGAAACAACAGTTAAAGTAGAGAGGAATGCATACCTTTTGAATAACCATACAGAAAAGTGGAAGTACATACTGCCTTAAAACATACGCATCCTTCAAAAGCCCCTGGACGAGATGGTATACCTCTTTTCTTCCATCAAAAATTTTGAAATATTGTTGGTTCTTCTATAGAAAAATAGAATCTTTTCTATTTTAGATAGGGAATCCCCTACTTTGCTCAATCACACTTTCATTACTCTTATCCTAAAAATTAATGATCCTAAGCACACAAAAGACTTTAGACCTATTGCAATGTCATGTTCAAGATAATCACCAAAACCATAGCTAATGGATGAAGTCTCTTCTCCTCCAAACTATTAGTGAAGCCCAATTGGCCTTTACAGGTAGTCTTATCAGAAATAATGAGCATTTGAAATACATGAAAAACTAGTAAAAAAAGCCAATCTCAAGATAGATATGCATAATGTATATGACAGTGTTGATTGGAGGATTTTTGAAAATATCATGCTAAAAGTGGTCTTAATGTACAATGTATGGAACTTGTTATGAATTGTATTTCTATTGTTTCTTAATTACTCTTTGGTGATAAATGGGGGAACTCAAGAAGCTTTTTCTCCTCAAAGAGAGCTTAAAAAATGTCACTCATTATCGCTCTACTTATTTTGATGTGTACATAGATCTTGTTGGGATTAATCCATCATATGCAGAAAAATGAGCAAAAATTCATAAGATAAAAATTTATAGGAGAATTCCTTCTCTTTCATATATGTTTTTTCTTTTCTTTTTTTCAGATGATAGATAGATCATCTTTAGGCGAGCTTCACAATCAAAACAGATAGTTGATAAAGTAAGCAAGATCTTAACATATTATGAAAGAGCTTTAAGGTCGAAAGTGAATGTGGACAAGTCCGAAATCTCTTTTAGCCAAAATGTTCAGACGAGGCAGAAGGTAATCAAATCAAGATTAGGAGTAGCAAGGTGAGCTATCATAACAAGTACAAAAGAGAAGCAAACTTAGTGATCTAGTTGATAAGGTTCCAAAAAAAAAAATAAAAAGATAGGAAAGAAATGACTCTCCCTAAAGCAGGTAAAGAAGTATTGTTAAAAATTGTAATCCAAGCAATTCTAACCTATACAATGAGTTGCTTTTTGTTACCTAATTAAGGATGTAATCAAATTGAGGCTTTAATGGCTCAATATTGGTAGGGACAAAAGGCTGATGGAAATAAAATTCATTGCAGTAAATGGAAGAAGTTTTGTTTCTCTAAACAAGGGACGGTTTGGTTTTCAAGAACCTGGATAATTTTAATTTAGTCATCTTGGCTAAACAATGTTGACAGTCAGCTATAATCCAAGCTCAAACTGGATATACCAAAATAGCTTTTTTATGGAAGCCCAGACTAGATATCAATCCAGCTATGCTTAGCTAAATCCAAGCTCGATTTATTATTCCAAATGGTTCAAGGTGGCTTGTAGGCGATGACAGACATATTCGGATTTGAAAAGACAATTGGCTTCCTAAACAATCGAATTTTGGGTTCACTCAACTCCTTCTATTCGGAGGCATTGTAAGTGAATTAATTGATCAAGTTTACGGGTGCTTGAACATTAATCTTATAAGTTCTATCTTCTTATCTTCTAAAGCTGCACAATTGTAGCATCCCTCTATGTGCAAGAAGAGAATGGTAACCGGTATGGCCTGGAAAGAAGTGGCATATTCGTTGTGAAAAAAAGCATATCATTTGGTTCTTCAATCCAATTCCACAAATGATATTAATGTAGGCCCTTTGGATCAATAAGCTAGTGATTTGTGGAAGGTATTTTGCAAACAAAATGCCCCTTTAAGTCAAGAATTTTACAGTTAGGGCTTGCCAAAATCAGCTTCCTACAAAGTTAGAGCTACTATGAAGGGAAGTAATAGATCTAAATCCGATATGTGAAAGATGTGAGGAAAAGGAAGAATCTCTCTCTATCATGCTTTGTTGGGTGTCCACCATCCTAGCGAACTTGGCTCTCAAGCTCGCTACTTCTAGCTTGACAGATCCTTTGTTTCTTTCTTTTCGTGGGTGAAATTCTTGGCAATTTCTTAATTACCTAAATATATAGAACTAATGTTTATGATAGCATGCAGGTGCATAGTTACCCCTTGTTTGAAATAAATGAATTCCATAAAATTTTGTGGAATTAATTTAGAAATCCAAATTTTTATGTTTGGAATGGAAAAAATATATATTTCAATTCTAGGAATTCAATTCCATGAAATTAGACATGATTACTCCAAATTCCATAAAAATATATGGAATTTCCAAATGAATTTCACAAAACTATGCAATTCAACTTTTCATGATAAAACTACATTTCTCTATCTACAAAGTCAATTTTTCAATTTTTTTTACTTATTTAAATTATTTATTTTATCAAACTTGATCTAAACCATTTATTTTTAGAAATTTTTTTTTCTTATTCTTGTGTTTTTATTTTAATATGTTTTCATCTTTATTTTAATATTTTTTTTATTATCGATGTGAGAGATTCAAGTTAAATATTTATTTATCACTAAATTAAATGCAACAATTTGATTAATATTATTGTTATTTTATATATTTATTTTAATAAAAATATAAAAAGTTATATAGCATATATAACATCAATATAATTTGTGTTTATTATTTATTTTTATTAAATTACTATTTCAAGGATATTTTAGAAAACAAAAGCAAATAAATTTTCAATTATAAATTTATTCTATACATGATTATGTGTAATTCAATTGAATTACATGTTTTAAATTAGTTATACCAAACATGAAAAATGCATTCACAAATAAATTCTATCATAATTCTTTTACAATTGAATTTCATATTTTGAATTTATTTATACCAACAGGAGCATTAGACTTAATTTAGGAGGGTAAAAAAAATTTTTACAAATGAATTTCAACAGGTGCATTAGACTTATTTTTACAAATGAATTTCATACTTTGAATTTATTTATACCAACAGGAGCATTAGACTTAATTTAGGAGGGTAAAAAAAATTTTTACAAATGAATTTCAACAGGTGCATTAGACTTATTTTTACAAATGAATTTCATACTTTGAATTTATTTATACCAACAGGAGCATTATTTGATTATATTGTTATTATATATTTATTTAATAAAAATATAAAAAGTTATCATAGCATATATAACATCAATATAATTTGTGTTTATTATTTAATTTTTATTAAATTACTATTTCAAGATATTTTAGAAAAACAAAAGCAAATAAATTTCAATTAATTTAATTCTATACATGATAATGTGTAACAAAAATTGAATTACATGTTTTTAAATTAGTTAAGCCAAACAGAAAAATGCCATTCACAATAATTTCTTATCATAATTCTTTTACATTGAATTCAATATTTTGAATTTATTTAATACCAACAGGAACATTAGAACTTAATTTAAGGAAAGGGTAAAAAAAAAAATTTTTTTTTTACAAAGAATTTAACAGGTGCAGTTAGACTTATTCTTTTACAAATGAAATTTCATACTTTGCGAATTTATTTATACACAGGAGCATTAGACTTAATTTAGGAGGCGGTAAAAAAAATGTTCAAAAAATAATAGGGACCAAAGTGAAAAAAATTGCCACTATTTTCGTAAAAGGGAAAATTAGAAAAGGCTTTGGAGTTTGGGGAGTGCCAGGCGCCCCGCCCCCCCCCCTCCTCTCTTAGTGTGGTATATTTAGAGAACAAGGAACGTATGGGTTCAGCAAAACAAAAGGCTATTTGATCCTCAGGTTTTGAATCATGGAATAAGTTTTAACAAGGATCCATTTCAACTTTAAAATCCCAGACTGGACCATAACAATCAGAACTTGACACCGCCGGAAGAGGGATCAGTGACGATAAATTGTGGTGCTTCAACTACTAGTTAGTCATTTTAATTTTTTCTAAAAAAACTTTCTTATAAGCAAATTAATTAACTTTTTGTAAACAATTCGTCAGGTCGAGACATCAATTCTTGATAAAACAAAAGTACAGGACCATTGTAAATACTACGTTTTACCTCTGTGACGGTTCATTGCTGCTGCGTGTAAAGCTGTTTTGCCATTAGGGCCTGCAAAAGCTACAGATGTGCAAGTGTTGAGTATCTTGATGACAACCTCTAGATGTCCTCTCTCCGCAGCCAAGTAAAGTGGAGTTTCTCCACTATCATTCCCAGAGTACAGAAAATGAGGATCCTCATTTGTCAATACTTCAACTATACTAAGATGATCATTTCGAGCAGCCACGTGTAAAGCTGTTTCCTTCTTGTTATTGATTATCCTCAGCATTCCCGTTGCTCCTACAACTCCATTCTCCAGATCATTAGGATGTTGAGTTTTTGCTTGCTGAACAAATAATTCCACTATATTGGAATGCCCGTATGTTGTTGCAACATGTAAAGGAGTATCGCCATTGGAATTGGTATGTAATAAAAGAGAAGGACAAATATTAAGTAATTCTTGCACGAAATGAGTTGATCTTTGGGTTGGAGTGGACAAGTAGAGATGCAAGATTGTGTCTTTAATTGGGGTCAAGAGAAGATTTAGAGGCTCTGCATAATTCTTGAATGGATCAATTATCCCATCTTCAGCGGCTTTGTACAAATCAAGACTCATAGAATTGGATGTGGATGGATCCATACTAACCAGATGCTTGGCTGGTCCTCTCTCAATTAAAGGTTTAAGAATACTAGAGCCAATCGAGCATATGCGTCCTTTGTTCAATTAAGAAGCATATAAGCATATCTAACCTACATGCTTTCAAGGATTCCTCAAGCTGGCCGGCACAATATTTTAAAGGATGGCCTAATCCTAGATAGATTTTTATTTTCTAAAGCGAAGTATAACTTTTTCTCTTTATATATTATTTGGTTACTTGTTTTTTTTTTGTCTTGGCATATATAGAATTACGTTTTTATTTATAAATTAATATATAGTTGAATATGCATGTCAAAGCTGGAGGTCTCCGGTAAGCGGATTAACTGCTTTCCCTTATTCTATTCCTTGAGGTCGACGCATGATTACAAAGGAAGCAGGTATCAACTGGGACCTCACAATTGTCCCACAGCTGTTAGCTACGCCAATGCATCTTAGAAAGTTCCTGCACCCTTCTTTCAAGTCAAGTGGGAAAAAAAGGAGAACGGGGCTCCCAGGCCGGGATATCTGGCAGAATGGGGATAGGAGTTTTGGATAATGGACTGCAAGGGCAAGGTTCCTCGGCAATCCCAAACCGATCGCTGTCGTTTTCTTACTTTCTTGTTGTTTTGAATTTTTATAGAACGGCTCTTGTAGATATGGATCGAAAAATTATGAGAACTTAGGTTATCGGATACGTCGAATCTGAGCCGAGAGAAATGCAAATAAAAAAAGTATAAGAAAATATCATATAAACAATTAGTCAATAACAAAATAATATAAATTAATATTAAAATTTTGGACAATAAATAACTATATTTTGAGTTAATATTTATAATCTTGGATCTATGAATATTATGTGTGTAACACTTTAAACTTTATCGTGATTCTGTTATGTCCTTGAAATTGACCATTGGACGCGTGTTTTTCAGATGCTTTAAAAGCAAGCGAACCGAAAAAAGAATTAAAAAAGCTATTTCATGAGCCTCTCATTGCCGAAACATACTTCTTGTGGAGGGCCCACTCAAGTGGGACCCACACGTTTTTGACATTGGTGGTGTTCCACTCAAGTGTGGGACCCACACGATTAAATAAAAAAAAGGGTGGGCGAGAGAAACGCGGTTCGTACGCGTTTTCTCTCCAATAAAATAGCAGAGGATTTGCTTCGCCTCACCACACAAAAAGGAAGAAAAAAAAAAAAAAAAGAGAGAATTATCTAGTTTTATGAAACCATTTTTAAAATTACGATAGAAAAAAATAGTTAAAAAATTATTTTAAGGTGTTTTTAGAAAAAGTGTAATTATTTTTATATTATTCTTTTTATAAGTCTATTATTTTAATAGTAGAAGAAATATTCAGAATTAGTCCCGTGGATATAGTCCTAAACAGTTAAAGATGAACAACGTAAATTTTTATGTGTCACAATTTTACTTTTTTACTATATAATTATTCTCGTAATTTTATTATCTTGACCCTGACAAGATCATACATAACCAGCTTAACCGTTTAATGGCAGCAAACGACCAATAAAGTTTGATCTCAATCACTTCTTTGTTGAAGCGTTGCAAAAACTCAAACCACAGGCAAAAAATTTCAAAAAATAAAAATAAAATTGAAGACTCAGAAAACCACGTACTTTACTGAGTTAGGATATATTAGTTTCAATTGCATCAGAAAAGAGTGGAGAAAGTTTTTGGTATAATTTAATTATTTTTCTAAGCTTTTCAGACTTTGTTTTAGGTGGAAGTACGTAAACCACAATTCTTATTGCTTTAACTTGCTTTAATTACATTTCATACTCTAATTTTAATTGCTTTGGCTTGCTTTAATGCTTTCACAGTAATTTAAAGTTATAGTTTAATCGTTAAAAAAATTTATAATTATTTCATTATCATTTAAAAGTTAATATCATTGGCTTTATAAATTATATAAATTGTAATTCATACTTTAATGTTTATCGCGTTAACGTACTTCATTGCTTCACCATTGAAGCAAAGAATAATTAGTTAATTTTTAATATTTCAATTAACATAATTTTTTCTGTATATTTTGTACACCAAGACATAGCTCAGTATTAAGCGTATATACAGTACAAAAAAACACTAAATTGCGACCGATTGCGATGCATTTGCGACCGCGTGCGACAAATATTGAAGTGACATAAGTTAAATATTCACAGACCGCTTGCAACCGATCTCGACAGAATTGCAATCTATCGATAATCCATCTATAATAATTCTCGCGAATTTGGTTTTTATTTTAAGACCAAAAGGCAATGTAATATCGATCGACTTAATGATGGATTTGCGATCAATTAACGGTTCGTCGTTAAAGTGCGCACTGCAGTTTAGCACTAGATTTTGTTCCTGGAGTGTGATGGATTGGCGATAGATTTGCGATCGATCTTGCTCGGTCGCAAGTCAATCACAATTTTTTTTACTTACAAACCAACAGCGCTTAATTAAAAATTGCGACCAACTTTATAAGAGTTGTGACTGATATGTCGGTCACAGAATATTAGGGCTTTATAACCCCTTGGTCATAATCACAGTACACCCCTCCCCCTTTACCTCCCTTTCCAGTTCTCTCCTCTTTTTCTCTCCTTGGTCGCCGGTTGTTGATTGCTATGGGATCACTGGAGCTCACTCCTGTCACCAGAGAAGCCGAACCGTCAGCCTGGTTAGGTAGGTGCCCTTATCCTTTTTCTTTTTTTTTTTTTTTTGCGAATCTATTCTCACAGGCAGCAGTTTGGTTTTCTTTTTATTTTATGTGCATTTTGATTCGTTTTTGTGTATTTTGAGCACTTAATTTTTGTTGTTTTATGTAATGTGTAGTTTTAGGGTGAGAATTAATGAGAAATATATAACATAAATAGGATTTGTTGAAAATTTTGATTAAGTTTCAATTAATATTTCTTTTTCGACCAACTTGGAACTGAACAGTGATCAAATTATAACCATTACATTCAAGTTTACAATTGATCACCAACCAATTACTTTCAAATTTTACAACTAATTAGTGATCACTTTTCGCTAATTGCGACCGCTTTGCGATAAGTTTTTGACTTGAAAACACGACGCAGATTAGCGACCAATTTATTATATTTTTCGATCGACATATCGGTCGCTAAATTACGACCACTTCATCATTCGGTCGCAAAAGAATTTGCGACGAGTACTTTTGTGACCACTTGAAGGCGGTTGCAAATCGTTCGCTAAATTGATTTAGCAATCGATTTCTTATATTTAGTGAAAGATTTGTCGGTTGTAAATCGACATTTTTTTTGTAATGACACAACCTGATAATAAATTCAAGTTCAAATCCTCCTACTAAATACTCAAAAAAAAAAAAAATTCTTCCGCATATTTTTGTTATGCATTCATAATAATTTAAAGTTATTGTTTAATCTATTATTTTTTAAAAGTGAAAAAATTACAATACAATCCTTGTGATTTGCGAAATACAATTAGTTCATCTATGTCTTTTAGGAAATGAATTAAAATTTCTGTATAGTTTACTTCGATCAGACTATAAGGTCCTTCTATCTAAATTTTGCATCTTTTCCATTAAGTACGTTATGAAACGATGAAAATATCCATTTTTATTTTAAAAAATATAAAAATGACCTAGTTATATTTTTAAACCACAGTACCTTACTATAATTTTTCTAATATAATATGACTTATTTTCACCTACCATCCGTAGACTATGGACCCTATCACTTTACCATCCCTAACCTTTTATCACTTAAAAATTCCTCAAGCATTATTGGAGTAATATAAAAATACATTTTACCGATTTCTAGTAATAAGTCAGTTAAAGCTGATATAAACAAATTTTTTCATTAAATAATTGAAAAAAATTCTATATCAACTAAACTATTAATAAATAATACTCTCTCTCCAACATGAATAATATTTTGAAATCTATAAATATTACTACGTGGCGGCAATGATGTAATCATGGTCCAATTCATTTTAAGATGGTACGACTAAAGAGCCATTATAAAGTGCACATTTTTTTATTATTTTTTCTATATTAATATTTATAAAGATAGAATTCACGTCATAATTTAAAATATTTAATTTTTTTAATCGAAAATGATAGGTTGAAATATCCAAATAAATAATTTTTTTTAAAATATTCAATTTTTATTATTTTCATTTTATTTTTTTAAATATACAAATTTTAAGATTTTCTTTTATATAACGATTATATAAACAAAGAATGAACATATATTTTTATTAAACATTTTAAATTATCCTTTTCTATTATATAATGTCAATATTTAGAATAAAATTTAATTAATTATGTTCGACGTATAATATTTTTTATATTTATACATCTTCATTTTATAATATTCATGCATTTGCAAAAAGAAATTAAAAATATATTGTTGTGTTATTTATTCCCTCTATTCTAGAATGATATGGTTGTTTCTATTTCCATAAATTTATTAATAAAATTTGAATAATTAATTTTCCGTATATTTTTCCTAATATGCCCATATGTTAATATCCCCTATTCTCACATCTTATATCTATATATAGTATGGATAGATTTCCAACTTCAAATTTAACTTCTTGAAAAAGAAAAATTATAGCCTTTTCACCTTGAAGATTTAGCCAAATAAAATTCAAAGATTTGAATTCTTGCAATTGTTTTAGTTTCCAAACACACCCATAAAAGAAAATATAATAATAAAAAACTTTATTCTGATTTATAAGCAAATATATTAAGTAGATTCTTTGCCATGTCCACCACATGACAATCTGCAATGAGTTTTACTTGTGCATGTCTAAGAAAGGATTACAAGTAACAGAAGCCCTTCTAACTCAAAGCATAAATCTTTTTAACTAGAAACCAAAGTTTGAGTCATCATGGTTGTAAACTCATCCATGTTAACCATTCCATCACCATCAGTATCAACTGCCCTCACCATTCTCCGGCAATCTTCTAGGGTACATCTCTCGCCAAGCCTCCTCAAGACTTCCATAACTTCCTCAGCAGTTATCTTTCCATCTCCATTAGAATCGAATGCTTGAAATGCACTCTGAATGTCTACCATCTTAATGCCTCCTCCTTTCTTCTGCGCTTCAATAAATTCTCTGAAATCGATATATCCATCTCCATCCAAATCAACTACCTGGAAGATCTTTGGCACTTCTGCTATCATTTTGTCTTGTCTTAAAGCTCTGAGTGTTGCCTTGTACTCCTGCTGAGAAATTTTGCCATCTTTGTTGGAATCAAACTTATTGAAAACTTGCCTCATCTCATTCAAATTCACCTGGAAACTGGGTAGAGTGCTGGAGCTTTGTCTGTCACGGGAAGAGAACAATCGGGATGGCTTTCGTAGAAGCTTGTTTCTTGAAAGCTTGTACTGGAACTCAAGAAAGCTAATATTTGACATTTCTGTAATGGCCTTTGTTTTTCACAGGAGACAGAAACTCAAATAAAGGAAATGTTACAATCAGAAAACAGCACAAATATCAGATGAATTTCAAACTTGATATCCTATTCAAAAGAGTGATATTTATTTAAACAAAAAGTTAGCTTTTTATTCCTTGAGCAACTTGCCAGTCCCAGAACAAAAGATTCTGAAAGCATATTTGTAGATAAGAAGAACAAAACTGTGGTTGAAGATATGACAGGAAAACAAGAAAAGAATAAATTCTATGCAAAAATTACAATGAATTCTTTGGATCACTTGTCCAAATTCTTCCTTCGAGGATGCCAAATTTTATTCTCTATAACCATAAATGGTCAATTTACAAGAAAGAAGTAAAAACTACAAATCATCAAAAGTATTATTAAGTATACTCCCTGGAGTAAAATCTGACTTTAGTCAGGGCGGCTTTCCATTGTCCAAGTCCTCCATTACATCAATGTCCTTGCGAGCTGTTATTTTTTGCACATATCCTACAACAGTAGGAATATTAAGTTCCAATTCCAGACTGTGATTAGAAACAATATTATGTAATGGAGAAACAGAAATTCAAGTCCATGGTTCACAAAGTAGACAGACTCAAAATGGAAACTAGTGACAGTTCTCCACAAGATGTGATAATTTTAATTGGAGTTAATTCACATATCACAATGGCAATCCTACATACTATAAGTGTAACACCAGAAAGCCCAAAAAAAACCACAACCCTCTGCTCTGCTGACCTGACCCTACAAAAGCTGTTTAAAACTTAATTTCCCCTAAATCTTTACTTTTGAAAATGTCCTTTAATATAATGCTCTCTCAATAGATCTTTTGTGTTGCAAAACATATCGCAAACTTACTTTGGTTTTCCAAAAGCAATTAAAAACTCATTATCAACCATTTCTCATTCTTAAACTTAACTCCAATCCACCAAACCATGTGCTCATTGAAGGAAAAATAAACAGATTCCAAACCTAATACTTTCTTTTTAGTTCCAATGCTCCTCCAAATTATTATTCCATTTCAGTGAAGTTAGCCAACACCATGTTGGGAGTGTAATTGTGTAAATGAACATATACAATGATGCTTAATATCACATTCTAGAGGATAAGGTGGTGGGCACATCTGCCTCAATCAAGATAAACCGGGGTAGTAAAGAACACCACAAACTTTACACCCACTACCTTTACAAGAATAAAGTACCTCTACACAACTGCTCATATTCATTAAATATATGGTGATTGACACTTTAACTAAGAGTTTGTTTGGCAACAGCGTTTCATCAAATATTAAACATCCTAATGTTTAACGTTTATAAAAATTAATTAATTTTCTTTTACATTCTTATCCATTGGTTTACGCCCTAAAATTTAGATATTCTACTTGCTTTACCTCTTTTGAGTTTAATACACTTATTTTTAATTTGATTTTCTCGCTTTTCATTTCAATTTTATAAGAAATCATCTTTTATTATAGAAAAAAAATGAAACAAAAAACCAGAAAAAGAAATATGATAATAACTTAGAAAAGAAAAAGAAACACGTGTCACTGTATATATGCCCTTTTTACCTCCTTATTGAGTTTAATACACTTATTTTTTTAATTTTTTGATTTTCTCGCTTTTTCATTTCAACTTTTATAGAAAATCATCTCTCTTTCGATTTATAGAATAAAAAATGAAACAAAAAACCAGAAAAAGAAATATGATAATTAAACTTAGAAAAGAATAAAAGAAGACACGTGTCACTGTTCTATATATATATTATATATATATTTTTTTTTTTTTTTTTATTTTTTATTATGAGTTCACTTCATATATTCTAAATTTTTAAATGCAATCATTTCAATGTCATTATCTTTTTGTCATTTTTAACATTTCACACAGTATCAAAACATCTAATTTTTGTCAACGCATTTTTGCTTTAACACGTGTTGTCGAAATCGTGAATCATGACAGCCTCTTTTAAATCGAGATCGAATTTTTTTTTTTTTTTATTTTTTATTAATGAGTTCACTTCATAATTTAAATTTTTAAATCAATATTTCAATGTCTTTTTTTTGTCATTTTAATTCAACAGTTAATCAAACATCTATTTTTGTCAGACGCTTTTGCTTTAAAGTGTTGTCGAATCGTGAATCAGAAGCCTCATTTTTAAAATCGAGAATCGAATCACAAGATTCGCTATAACCTTTTGAGAATCAATTAAAATTCTAATTCCGAATAATTTTATCAAAAGATATTAAATATTCAATTGAAAATTCCAATGTCAATCATATGCTAAATAAACCTAATAACTTGTGTTGTTCCTAACTTCAAATATCAAACTATTAAAATAGAATTTGAAAATAAAAAACAAACTAATATCATATTCATTCATTAATCTTCATCATTTCCAATTTCAAGCCCTTCATCATCATCATCATCATCATCATCATCTTCTTCTTCTTCTAATATAACCATATCATCTTATTCTTCTTCTAAAAACAAATTTGTTTCGTTTCCTCCCAAATTCTTTTCTTTTTCTTCTTGTTCTTGTGAATCAAGCCAACCATGTACTGTTGTTTCTGTCTTTCTGTCTTTCTAACTTTGCGTCGTTTAATTTTCCTAATATATGTGAAGTTTAATCTCTAACTCCTTTTAGGAATAGATTTGCATGCGTTGGGCCCATGTTTTTTTTTCTTTTTTATGCTCTACGTGAATCATTGATTTGTTGCGATTCATTCTGATTCATGCAATTCACAGCCGATTCATATGATTTGCTTTTGATTCAAGGTGCTCTCCAATTCATCCCTAAGATTCGTATCGATTTCTCTTAGATTTGATATGAATCATATGATTCGTATCGTGAATTTTATGATTCTAACAACAACAGCTAATAGCTAACACCTAAGACCTACTAAAATAAATAGCTAAAAGCTAATCAAACATCTATTTTTATCGAACACTTTTACTTTAAACGCTATATGAACAACTAACAACTAACATCTACTAAAATAGCTAACAGCTACTATAACAGCTAGAATTGCTGAAAAAACCCTAAATTTCTAGAATTATGCTTGGTTTGTACTCTCAGCAATGAATTCCTAGCTATACTTCTAATGGAATGGGCAGAAATCTGCAGTCTGGATGGGTGGCTTGCTGAACCAGAGTTAACTAAAAGTATGCCCATGAATGCTATTCTTACACCTCATACCACTCAACAGACTAATGCCATTATTCATCACTTTTATGAATTATAATTGAATCCATTAGAAAGATCATTAAGATGGATTGAAAATGGTCGAAATGAAATCACATGATAATAGATGAATCAAATTCAGAGTTTCCTTGAACTCGAAGTACATATAATAGCAAAAGTACATTGCTTTTGATATTATACTGAATGGCAAAGCTCCAGCTTTAACAAATTCCAGGAAACAAGAAAATTCTTATCAACCTCAACTTTTCAGTCAACTTCAATACACTTGGCAATTTAGGTTTTCACATGCCCTTCTGTCTAGTTTTTATTATTCCAAACTGAATTCAACCGAATACCACAAATATTAGCAATTTTTTTTTCTATTGAAACAGATACTTAGTGGTGCTAACTTCCAAATGCTTTGGGATTTAGGTTCATGTTTCAAACTAAATTGAATCCTTTACTATGAGAATGCATAAGGCATCAAGGACAGGCCAGCATCTTCCAGCAAACCTATGTTTACCACATGGCCCATACTAAAATATGAGGTGTGCTGTTTATTTGTGAACCTAAAATAATTACAAGACTTGCAAATGCAAAACATTTGGAGTGCTCTTTATTTCTATCATGCATATTAAACTCCAATTTAACATGAATATGACTTCCTTTTTTTTTTTTTTTGTGGTACATCAGAAATTCTTAGTTGCAGAGTTTTGAACCCCTGACCTTTTGAACTATGAGATAAAAGCTTGATCACTGGGCTACTAGCACAACGAAACATGTATAAGGCACTTAAGATGCCTAATGATATGACCAAAGTCTTTGTACACAATTTGCTATCAAACACAACGAAATCACTTTTTTTTTTTTCCTTTGGGGCTTGTTTCATGCAAACTGTTCTTAGGAAATGAACACTTATAACCACGCAAAGCAGTGCTGGTGCAGAATTCTCAAATCCGTTTTATTTACTTATTCATTATCCACTTAAATACTCAAGTGATAAGCAGCAGAAATACATATGTTATAATGGAGACCCACATCCTTACATGCTTTTCCAACCAAATGATGTTGATATTGAGATCAAGAGAGATGAAAAATTAGATTAGCTCCGGTGTGTTTTGCCCTTTCTCAAATACAATGAAATTTGAATTTCTAGTAAAAAAAAACATACCAATCCCAAGGCAAGGTACACATTTGCAGGTGATCTCCTTCCCTCTTTTATTATAATAGCTTACATATCCTGAACCTTGGCAACTTCGGCATTTTCCAGTCCACTCGTAAACCACTTCCTTACAATCCTACATTTCAAGACCTCATTGATGAGAAAAACAACCAAATTCCAAAATACTCAAACCTCATTTCAAGAAATTAGCAGCCACAATTCTAAATTATGCGTATCATTGTATTACTAATGCAAAAGGACCCAAATAACAAGAAATTCTTAATTCTTGAATTTCAATATATATATATATATAATCTTCTATCTGTGGTTTCAATTTACCTGAATTTCGGCATCGCATCGTAGCCGTTTATCAATCTCCTCAGCAGGGACAGGTTTAGAGTTAGGATAAGTCATAGGAAGAGGAAGAACGTCTTCATTATCAGTCAAATAGCTCTCTCTATTTCTCGACCATTTCTTCTCTTTCGCATTCACTCGAACACTACCATTACTGCCTCCAACTCCCCGCCGTTGAGGGGCTATGGAGGCTCCGTCTGCCGTCGGAGAAGATGCAGGTCCCTCAGATTCCTGGCCAATTCGGATGCTGCCAGCGTCGGCAGCGGATGTGAACTGGAACCACCTAGGAAATGTGGGGCCTGCTCGAAGGTCGCCAGCTGCGAAACAACGGTGAGAGGTGGAGGTTGTCGTGGTGGTGGCAGTGGGCGATATAGGGATTAGAGTAGAGGGCTTAGAACAGAAGAAGAGGGAGGTAGGGTTTATTGGGAGCATTTGCAGGGTTTTGTAATTAGGAGGGAGAGGCAGAGGTTGAAGTTGGGGGAATGAAATAGTTGTTCGTTTTGGTAATGGATTGGCTGTACTTTTCCAGCTGTGGCCCATAATAATATTTTAATTAATCAATTTTACGAAAAAGATAAAGGTCCTCAAGTAACGAAATTTCCCATTATAAAGAACAAAAATCAGAATTTTTTATTTTCGGTTTTCCTCAGTATGAAATAAATATTCAATATAAAAAAACATACATTGTTTACTTTAATTTTCTCAACCATACGTGGAAAATCGAACTACCACTTTAATTATGTTGTAATTAATCACTAGATGTTTAAAATTTAGCAAAATACATATATTGTACTCTGAATTTTGATAAATTAACTATACAGTACCCCAACTTTGCAGGACCAATTATATATCTGATGTAAAAAAATTTTGAAAAATTGTACTGAATGTCTTTTTTTGAAACTCATTTTTACAGAATACCAGTTTGATTTTAAGATTTAAATTATTGTCATTTGTGATATACTTTTACTATTGTGTCCTTTTTTATTGGTAGGGAATTAATTTATTAATATTTCAGTGTTTTAATACGTTAGTGTTTTCTTTATATTAATTAGTCTTTTTTAAGACTTGCTTTGCATGCTAATTATACTCGTTATATACTCATTTTTTACACTCCTTTTTAATTTTTTTTATCTATAAAATCTTAAAGCATAAATTTTTATTAGGATTAAAATAAATATAATTGGTTAATTTGTATTATACTTTATCATAGAAACTACTTGTAATGCTACTTTTTATGTACTTAATTTATTTTTATATAATAAAAGTGGTCTTAAACTCATCCCTATACTTAATCCTTCAATCTCTAATTTATAAACACAAATTCATAAAATCCTAATAGGTGTCCAAAAGGAAAATCCAGCAACTACTCAATTTCCAACCCCTCGCCCTCACCCCAAATCAATATCTATATATAAATATAATGCTAGATAAAAAAAAAAAGAAATGAGAAGATGATATGAATTGATAATGGTAATCACTCTGACTATAGAGGCAATATTGCTTAGTCAGTTGATTAGAGAAAGAAATATATGTACATACACACAAAAATATAAAATTATAGTTTTTTCCAGTTTCATAAACATTATTCTCTTTAAATTCAAACATATTTAGAATATAAGAGAAAAAGTATTAAGAAAATTAAAAATATTTAATCATCAAAAGGTCATTTATTTATTTCAAGAGAGATATAAATTTTCATAAACTTATTCTCTTCTACAATTCCAAAACATATTTAGAATTCAAACATATTTAGAATATAAGAGAAAAAGTATTAAGAAAATTAAAAATATTTAATCATCAAAAGGTCATTTATTTATTTCAAGAGAGATATAAATCTCTTACTAAATTAAAATAATAATAGTTAAATATTAATTCAGTAACAAAAAAGAAAATAAAAAATAAAAATTTATTATTAAGAATAAAATTCTTTTCAAAACTCAACATTATAATAAGAAACAAATTATATTAAAAAATTTCTAATTTAAATTTCAAAAATCAACCACTTCTTCATTTGAAAAGACAATAATTTAATGAAATTTAATGTTGATAGACAAAAAAAAAAAGGGACTAAAGCTGAGTCAATAATTACAAATTATAAAACAAAGGATTCAACATTGGTCAGTTAATAAGGTGTTGTTTGTTTTCGATTAAGTTTTTTATTTTTTTTCTTTAAAAATAAACTAAACTTGTTTGTTTAAACTTGTTTAATTTTTTTCTTTCCCTTCTGGAAAATTATTTTTAAAACAAAATAAATTTTATAAAATCACAAATAGTGGTTTATGTAATCGTGTTTTCTGTTTTTAGATCTATATTTTTTTATTATTTTTTAAAGATTTATCCTTAAAGTTATTGGTATTATTATTATTATTATTTTCTCTATCTATACAAATTTATTGTCATTTATTTATGCAAAATATACAAGTAGATAATTTTATTTCTATTAAAATTATATTTTTTTTCTATCTCTTCTCTATTTAGATTATATTTATATTTATTATTATTTTCTATTGTCTTTTGGCATTATTTATTATTACAATACTCGGATATTATATTTTTATTCAATTAATTGTATACATAATAATCAATAGTTATTGTA